TAAAGAATTCATATAAATATGCCGATCCAAATGAACACCCGAAAATTATCGAGGCAGTAAATCTAGTTAAAAGGCCAATAGTAAGACTAGTTAACCTATCCGTATGTAGCACCATCATCACATTTAACAATAGATTTTGTGAACACGTGCAAGGAATTGTAATGGGATCTTATTTGGCCCCAATTTTAGCCATTAATTATGCTTAACCAAAGGCGTTAATCAGATATATCGATGGCTATTCTGCGTTTTATCAGAATGGTAAGGATTTATTGGATAATTTCATGTATTTAATTAACCATATAGATAGTAATATTTAGTTCACAATGAAAATGGAGAAGGATAATTTTATCCGTTTTGCTATAATGATTCATAATGACTCAGATTGAAACTAAACAAGCATGTTTATGTACAAAGAGTTACTGGTTTTTGATGAATCTATTAAGCTAACATTGCTGGGTAGACTTTCATTTCGTATGAAAAAGGACGAAGAAGAGATCCGAAGGCCGATTTCACAAAAAGACTACGGCTGATCCCTAGTGTACTGTAGCCGATTTGTACTCCTTACCCTCTTATCACACTCCCGCTCTACCACAACTTCTGGCTTGTTTACATTCCACTCGTCAAAATATGTGCCTTTTCTTGCCTAATTTAGTATGGCCTTATCACACCTGCTATTCACCTCGATCTCCTCTTTTTTTTGATCGGCTAATCCGACTCGGGCCTCCTGTCCGGATCTCCCTCATGGTCCCGTAGATCCGTTCCTTATCTTTCTCGTTGACCCATTTCACTCGGTTCCAGTCCCAGTGTGCGTTTCACCCCAGGCGCTATTTCTCAAGGCCATAGAAGCGAGTACATTGTCGCCTCATCGAGCAGAGCGCCTAGGCTCTGATTGTCATGCTTGCAGATCTCAGGTATTGCTTTCACGGGTCGTCTCCTTGATTAAACCCGTGCTACCTGAGCAAATTGTGGACGCCTATCCCTGGTCCTGGTCGCCTGCGTCATTTCAAGTGGATTTCTAGTCGATTTGGGCTACAATGCCGAATTTCTGTGACGGTCTTCCTATTTCCCTGACTGTCAGGCCTCCAAAGTTGTACTGGTTTGTTACATCAAAAGATTAGTCGAAACCCAGTTTCTCTTCGTATCTACATTGTACTGGTTTCTTCGAACAGCCTTCACTCACTGAGAACATCTTCGTTTGCTTCCCGAAAATCCCAGTCCCCCTTTTCGAATCCCGATTCATTTTCCTCCGGTTAGCGATAGATCATTGATGCATTTTTGCTGGTCTTGCTGTATTCTTGTTTTCTTCGAGTCTGCTTAAGCAGTAGGAAAAGTTATCGCTAATGTTATCTTCCCCTAATCTCCTGTTCACTAGATTCTTCTGCGCAAGGATGTCAATGGCCTCCCTAATCTTCCGATTCCTTGTGTTGTCACCGTATGGTGCTCTTCTTCCTGTTGCCTTCCAATTGATCTCGTGTCCAGTCTGTGCAATGTGTTCCGCTCGTCTTGTTCTTTCGATATCCATTTTCCTGCAGAGCCTAGGATGTTCTTTGATTCGTATTCTAATTTTTCTCCCTGTTTCGCCAATATATTTCTGTTTACACGCGCCGCATCATATACAGTAAACTCCTTAACAATACAATTTGTATACTCCTTCATGTTGCGTCGGTAGACTTGTAAAAAGTGTTGATTTTTTTTCATGAACACCCGAATATTACATTTCCTTAATATTGGACGTAGTTTTTGAGTTAGTTCGTAAGAAGCTAGGCATATCCACTTTCGTGAACCCTCTATCGTCCTTATTGTTCTTTCATAGTCCCTGATCTGCCATCAGCTTTTCACAGCCCGTATGTTTATTTGTAATACTTTGCCTGGGTAGCCGTTGCCAAGGCACATCCTAGTCAATATGTCCAACTTCTCGTCCCAGAATTCCACATCCATTAAATGTAGGCTTCGGATGATAATGCTCCTCATTATTCCTGTCTTAAGCCTGCAGTTTTGATGAGACTGGAAATTGAGTATTATCCCTACATAAGACATTTTGACGTTTTCTTCTATTTTGTTCATGCATACGTTTGCCAAAGGTCGAGAGAGCGGCGATCCCATGGGAAGTCCAAATATTTGTTTATAGATGGTCCCGTTGAATGTTAAAAAGGTTGTTCTTATTTGCAAGTTGAGTAGTCGTTTTAACAACTCTCTCCTGATCCGTTGTGATCCCACGATATCCTCCTCTTGGTCTGGGATTTCCAGCAGTCTCGCTAGCGAATTTTCTCCAGAGATATTTGTATACATGAAGTTTACACCATAACTTGCCAATAAGTCTGTTTCTTCCAGTGCCATGTTTTTGATTTTTTTGAGAAAATTTATATGGATATTTCACCGTGTTTGATAACCTGTCATTTTATTTCTTGAGTTTCAAACATCAACTTTGCCTATCTGTGTTCTGCTCCAAACTTGTTGTTGACTGTCAGCCTTAGTGGCTACCCTTCTTTGTGCATATTCGGTAATCCGTAGGCTGTTGGTGGTCTTGCATCCTTTCATATGATTGGAGTTCTTGTCCATGAGTCAGTATGTCACTCAAGATTCCATTGATCTTTATATTTGGGCCCTTCTTTAATTTACGACATGTAGTCCTGTCTCGTAGACTATATTTCATATTCTCGGTATATTGTTTTTTGTCTATTATCACTGTCGCTCCTCGTTTATCCACCTAAAGGACTAATTGTTCATTCATTTCCAGGGTCTTACGTATCCTGTGTATTGGTTCTTGATGTGCCAAGATCTTTGGAATTAGTTCCATCTCCACTGCCCGTTTTGTCTACCAGGGAACTTTTAGGATAAATTGACAGCCTCCACCAGGATGTCTCCTGAGTACTTTCTTCAGGATTGTGGTGGTTTTGGGATTAAGAAGAAATTATGATAAATTCATTACTTTCTTCCGATCGCCGTGCTAATCAGTAAATTTTGGCACTTCGGAAACCACTTCACCTTGACCTAATGGCTTTAACGTAGGCCTTCTTATAATCCAAAACTTACGCAATTAATCGTCATGACGTTCTGTTAAGTCAGAGATCATACGTGATTTCCTGTCGATCATGCACCGGAATTTTCTTAAAGTCTTCCGGAGTCATGATCTTGGCCAGATCAGGCCGGAGCTGTGACTTGTTTTTTTTTGACGAGTAAGTAGCTTGGTGAGGATAATGGCAAGACTCACTGATGAATACGACTACGAGAATGTACCAATTCCACGATCTGATGCTATGAATTATGATAACTACTATAGCAGGAGACTTTGGACAAGGTGCGTTCAATTAAGTTGCCCTGACAACAAGATCAAGTTGCGAAAACGAGGTCAACCGACTTCTAAAAATCAAAATGAGATTGCGAACATACCGAGGACCACACCATATTGGTCTTCATATCTTCGCTTGAACTTTCTAGTGTTGGTTCGACTTTGTTTTCGGAACTTGGCCGCAGCGTCAGGGATACCTTGTGGAGCGTACCTAGTCCCGTGTTCTCTGCCATAGTTTTCGTTATTTCCAGCATTGGACCAACTTGGTACATTCCCAAAAGCTTCGCCGGCATTGTAGCCGGCATCGTCAATGAGAAGAGCCATAGTTATGACAGAGTTACAATTTATCTAAGTGACAAGTGAAGGCATTCTCATTGACGATTGGATGAATATCTACAATCTGGCTATAAGAGATGTATTCACCTTATTTCGTTTAGGGAGATGAAGGACTAGCAGTAGAATTTTCCCGCAATGATATGAGTAGAGGTGACGTTTCCATAAAATTTTACAGGGCTTTGCTTTCCCAAAAGTTGTTCTCATCCAGGCAGGAGTGGACTGCAGTTTCGACCCCGCGTAGGTCTTATCAACACCCCCATCGGGAGTCGAACAGTGCAGAATGTGAGCTTGACACGTTAACCCCTCAGCCATATTCCTACGTCTGCCATTAAGTTCCAGGGCAGATGTGAATTTCAAGGAAGGCCAGGCCTTTCCCCATATCACATTCTTTGGTGGGATTGTCGATGAAGTAAACCTATTTTTGCTATAACAATCGTCTTCATTATTTCTTTTTTGTATATAAGTAGAGTTTCGAGACTACCAGTAAATCAGTTATATGAGATGCACTCACCCTATTTCGTTTAAGGTGATGAAGGACTAGTAGTGGCTGCCTAAGAGCCTTCAATTACCGTCCCAAATTACGCCATATAAGAGGATTTAGAGCAGATGATGCCAATGTCTATGCCAGTGTCTGTGAATCTTCCTTTCCCTAGGCTTCAGACCCATGACTTGGTTATCCTCTTTCCAATCCCCACCCACATTGAGTCTCATTCTTTGGTAGACCTGTTTCCGGTTAAGTCATAACCGCTGGTGTGAAAATGCATTGCTTGTCTCTTTCCCTATGAATCGTGAAAAGCACACTCCCCTCGCCCTTCAAGTTGACATTCTCATCTAATCATAAGGTACTAGGATGTTGTTCATGTGTGTGTTGGTTTGTTTCCCCTGTGGGCAAGCATGTCATCAGTAACTTCTCCTTAATGCGCACACACGAAAGACGCACGTAAGCACACACACACTGGTGACCTATATCTTGCTCACCTATACCCTAAGCCTTTAATTTTCTACTCCACCTCCCATAGGTGGACCACCCCGGTACATTTTTGGCCAATTCCAGGTTTGAGTCCTCTCAATGTAGTCGCCTTTTCTTAACTTCACTTTGTTACTCATTAGCCGAGCCTTGGTGATGTCTTTCAGGTTGTTAAACAGTCGTCCTTTATCTAAGCGTCTTCTTTTTGCTGTCTTCGTTGAATCTCCACATCTGCTCAGACAGCACACGAAATTATCGAGGACTCTTCCCTCTTCCAACCCCCCGTGCAGCAGGTTTCTTTGAAAGATGATGTCAAAATTCCCTTCGATCTTCCGTTTCCTGGTGTTTTCCCCATATGAGGCCAGTCTTTCTGCTGCATGCCCACCAATTGTGTAAGCTGACCTTTCCCCATCATATGATGAACATCATCTGAGCTGTAAAAAGTCTCAAATTAGAACTAGGACAAGAAGACTGTTCGGCTTTATTTAATATCATATATATACTCATAAATCAGAGCGAAAATGTATAGACATAGAAAGATATAGAATAGTTTGGCTAATTATCTTTCATATTGGTCATGGTACCTTAACTTTAGTATGTGGGGCCTGTGTATGTGTGGTAAAGTACAATACCGGTTGTAACTCAGAGTGACTAAAAAACCTAATGTCAGGCTGGGTTCATCAAGACTTAATGACCCAGGAAAAAAGCCATTACAGAAAAAAAGTTTTTAAGCAACTCTGGTTGTAATTTTGTAAGTCAGGTTATGAAACCACCTCGCTTAACCTCTCAGGTTTGTGTCATTAAGGTTTAACAACCCAAAGAAAGGCATGACTGGGGTTGCGTAGGTTGGTTTGGTTGATCTAAATGTTAGATGAATGTGAGTGAGGTTAGTATTATCACTGGACTGACGGGTTTTTGATGGCGGTTCAACAATTCTCTCACTCTCAAACTTTAGCCAAACAAAAATACTTCTTACAATATAGGAAGACCAAGATGTTGTGGCCTCTGTTATGGTCGCAGTCTACTTTCGAATTATAGAAGTGAGTTGACCTCGTTGTCGCAAATTGGTCTCGTTGTCAGGGCGAT